AAACTGAGAAGCATGCCTCCTCTGTAAAAAAATTTCCCGAGTGTTGCATGTCAACGTGGAATTGATAATTGTAATAGGGGAATTGAAATATCTGTTTGTCATTTCACTCATATGGTTATATGGGTAAACGTACTTGTACTATGAGATACACAAAAGTTAAACGTACTTGTACTATGAAACATGAAAAACAAGGGATAGTGCATTCCACGATACCATCACCCTAGGATTTTGCAAAGTTTGATGTACCCAACTTTATTTTTGGAGTTTGTTTTCTCAACTTGATTTTAAGATCACAGTGGTTCAATCTTAGAGCATTGTCTGTCTGCTGTTTAAAAACGCTTTAATTTTAAAAAATTGTGTTTAGATGTGTTTGATAATTATTAAAAGTGCTTTTAATAGTTATCAAATTTAGCTTAGTTTATGAAACTCTCAAAACTGCATTATGAATAAAGTTGAATATTTTAGATAACTCATTTTCATTAGATAAATTTTTATTTTTTATTTTTTATAAAGACAAATATGTTGATTTATTAATAAAGTTAATATTATCAAATATGATAACATCTTATTAAGAGATTTTATTGTAAAATTAATAATAAAAGTATTTAAAAAAATATTATTATCAAATATATTAAAAAATAATTTAATTGTAAAGAGTGCTCATTATAATATGTTAACAAATAGTGTGTGTTTTTTTTTATTTTTTCAAGAACAATTCTAAACGGCTCTTATCAAGACGCACGAAACATTGTTAAAATCATAGTCAAAATGAAATAGAAAATTTAGGTGGGAACATAGAGTAGGCTGATTCTGCATGCCGAATAATAAATATGACCAGTATCCGCCCAGATTTTGCTTACCGACATGGTCCATGGACTTCATACGGAATTTGGCTCCTGAACAGAGTTGAAGAATCAGTTGGATTCTTTTTACTTGGTCGGTTCAACACTACTTTTTTTAAAAGCAGCCTATTTTTTCTGGCACGTCTTAAACGTGTTGCAAGTGTAACACGCTTGATGCATCCAAATTTAACAGTGTCGTGATAGATTAACATACAAAATAAATCAATCATCTTTAAATTATATTTGTAGGGAAAAAAAAAAAAAAATTATAATAGTAAAATCATGTTATAGCCTAGTAATATTTTTTTATAAAAGTTGAATGTTCAAGTCCTACTGTAAAAAGACATCAAAGGTGGTGGAAACTTTGGAAACATTTATGAATTGCATGTACATGTTTGAACTCCGTATATCAAAAGTAAAAAAAAGAAGGCTTTGTCCTTGACCATAATATGAAATTTTCTATTCGTGTAATAGAAAATTCAACCATACTAATTAATCTTTTGAAAAATAAAATAAAAAAATCTTTTGACCCTGGCGTTTTTATTCTAAAGGAAATATGCTAAACAATACTAATTAATCTTTTGACTCATTCTTGATGATTTTATTGTATAGTCAAAATTTTATGCCACGAGAACTTGGAAATATGCTACATTGAATAGTATCAAACACCTTCATGGTACACACTGCACTACTGAGCAAAAGTGTAAAAAACAGAACAAAATCTCAACCACCCCAACTATATTCTTCTAAATCAAGTAAAAGGGACATCACATTAACATGTGTTTCAGGCTTACATTCACTGTTTCTACATAAGTTGGAATATTTTCCCAAAAAGAATAAAAATTTAAAAAAATTAAAAAAAAAAAACAATTAATGAACCGGAAAACATAGCTTTTTCAGAAGTTCTCTAATTTAACATGCATGAAATATGTTGGAACTAAGTCACACAGGGCGGGAGCGAGAGTGGGAGCACGAGAGCGACAAAATCTATGTCACACAAAGTCAGAGCGCAAGCAGAGCGTGAGAGCGGGAGCGCATTTGGAGTGTGAAAGCGACACCCGTTGAGAAGGATTGTGTAACATAGTGCTGAAACATTGAGGACTCCCACAATCTGCGATAGCAAAATGTGCTAAATAGCTTTTTCATCAAAGCTCTTGCCTTCATGAATCTTATCTCTAAGGTGGGTCTGGTCCTTGGCCAATCCGTCACTTCTGTTGTTTGAGCAATGGTTTCCAGATATCATTGATTGGATCTGTCAAGAAAAAGAAGAACACAAAACAAAAAATAAAAAACACATGCAACAATGAACAGAGTGGTTTACCATCATAATCCAATAGGAGTATAGGATAATAGACTATAGAGCAATTGAAGAGCACATATGACTTTGAACAAGATTGAGTTATTACCACCAACATCAAATTTTCACATTCCTTCGATTGCAAAACAACAATGATTGCCCACTAAATTTGCCAAATAGCTTAGGAAAATTTAGTTTGACTATGGAAACATTAAAAATATAAAGAATGGGTAATAACCACTATCATCTTACCCATTTTGGAACGTTGATGATGATATATGGCTGAGACTCACAGAGTGCTCTGACCACCATGAAAAAAGTTATGAACTCATAGCCACAACCACTGAAACCCATAATTAACCCTACAATTGCAACCAATTAGTAATCCGTTACATTGCCATTGATTGTTTAATTGCAGAGTTGAAAAGTAAGAGCTTAACCACAAATTTTTTAGATCATAAGAGCAAAATATCATTTTATTAATAATAATATTATTATACAACTCCAATTCAATTAGAGTGATTATTTTTAGCTTTGAGTGTTTGACCTGCCTTGTTTTTGAACCTATCCATTTCTGAGTGGAGATTGTGCAGTCACCACTTACTTCCGCGTTGATATTACTTTCACCTGCAAACTTGATCATGACACAGGAATTTCGGCGGGAAAGTTCAATCCATAGTTTCTTGTTTAGAAGAATTTGTTCCTCCTCAAAGTTGCCTCCACCAGGCACGCGTCTCTGTAACGAAATTGAAGTTACAGGGTTTGTTGTCATTTTCATGGAATAAGTTCCTATAGACTTTGAGCGCACAACTTATATGTGATTGATCTATTTCGCTGCTGGAACACATCATAGACAGCCAACCCTATACGTAACTTCACTTTCACGATTTATACTTGAAATTGACATTGAATTCACCCCATTACAAACTTTATTAGCTGCCCTCATAATTCACACCCTCTAAATTTTTATTTTTATTTTTCCGATAATCGGGGAATCCAGGGCACTAATCCACGGGACCCGTGTAAGGTGACCTTTCTATACAAATCAAGT